AGCAGGGAAACAGGGCTTGGGCTACAGATCTTTTTATCTAATGTAAGAAAGTCTGACACTAGATGCGACCTGAATTTGATAAAGCAAGCATCAAGCAAATTGCATGATCCGCTGGTATTAAAGCTGGGAAGACTCACAGTTTGTTCATGCTTCAAATTCTGCTCCTTGATGTTTTGGTTTTTTTCCATTTTTCATTAGTTTTTGTTGTTTGGGGTAGAAGTTGAGTACAGATGACAGGTAGAATGTGGTAATAAATGTACATGGCGTGTATCTTGACACCTGTATGGCCAGAGCCACAACCCTGCTGCCTCTTGCCAGGCACCTGCTGCATTTGGCAACTGACCTGTAGGCACTGGATCAGACATCAGCAGCAAACTATCTTAAGTGGTCACAGGGATGAAAACTTCATTTGTATCTACTTTGTGTGGTAGAACATTGTTCATAGAATCACAGACTGCGTTGGGTTGGAAGGGATGCTTGAAGGTCATCTAGTCCAGTCCCCCTGCAGGGCACAGGGACCTTTTTAACTAGACCAGATTGCTCAGAGCCTCCTCAAGCCTGACCTGGAATGTCTCCAGGGATAGAACCTCCACCACCTCTCTGGGCAGCTTGTTCCAGTGCTTCACCACCTTGAAACTTTGTTCTGCCTTCTCTCCGTATTACACAGTAGCAAGAACTATCCACTGTATCTAACCTGAAATACAAACTGTTAAGTATCAGCACTAAAATAGAGGTGAAAAAAGCAGTTTGCCTAACACTTGTTTTTCCTCTTCAGACCCAGAATTTTCATTAGCATTCAGAAAAAGCCAAATGGCCACACTCCTTGAGCAAGTCCGACAACAAACAGAAGAAACTCAAGAGCTTCTCAGGGCAGCGATTTGCCAGGACGAGAGTTAATGTTCAAGCTGGACAGCTTATGAAAACTTGCAAGATCCAAGAGCCTGAACTTTCAGGGAAGACAATTCCTCTAATTGGTTCCTGCAGTTAAAATTTTCCTGCTGCTTGCAGTTTCAGATGTTCTGATAACAAGAATCAGAGCAGGTAAAGAAACAATCACTTGAACACTTTAGCTGCTTCAGGGGGCTTGAGGGTGACAGCTGCACTCCTGCCAACAGTTTGGAAAACCTCTCTTATGCTGGAGTAATCATCCCTGGTTTGTTTTTGGATTTCTCATCACCTCCCCAAAAACAACAAAACAACAACAGAAGTGTTGAGGAGCTGATTCGCTTGAAGAGGCACCTCTTGAGTTTGCAGGTTCCTCTGCATTCACCTGCATTTTGTCTCTGTTCCGTGATCCTGATTTCAGAGCATGTTCCAGGGGCCTGCCTTAAGAACCAGAAATTGAATTAACACAGTATAAAGGAAGCAAACCACTAACAGGACACTACAGGAAGAAACTGCTGAGGGACAACTCGGAGAAGCTGCAAGAAATTAGTAAGAAACAAGAATAGGGCCAACACTGCAGGCTCTGCTCTGCAGCAGAAGAGCAGAGGCACATGGAGGCAGGTAAATGCTGCACAGACCATGCTCAGAACAGAGCAGCTGCCATGGCAGAGCTGGGGGAGATGTGCTTGAAAACAGAAATCTCTGTTCTGCAAATGGTCATTTTAAAGGTACTTGCAACAGGAAAACATCAACAAATCTGGCAAAATTAGGACTTGATCTTCTATATTGATATTTCATTTTCAAAGGAGTTTAAGACCAAAAAACAATCATAGTGTGTTTAAATTCAACTAATTTTCTTATGTGTATATAGGCTACTAAACAATCTCCCCCTCCTTCTTCTCCGGAGGAAAAGAGTCTGTTTCACAGATCTTTTAGCCAATCAAAACAGTATTTTTCAGGGGACAAAAAAAAAAAAAGAAGTAGCACAAAGCCTTGAAATTACAAGACAGTAGTTTTTTTTAATGTAGGTTTCTATTTCTAAGATAATAGTAGTTCTGCTAATAATCATATATTAGTTATCTAAGTCCACCTTTGATACATGCTCTTGTCTTTAAATACAAGAATCCTGCTGGAACTTCCTGTTGAACTGGCTGGCATAATGACATTTGGAACCAGGCTCCTGGCAAACACCTGCTCCCAGACAGCAGTTTCTTAAGAAGACATTTCAGAAGGGTTTCCTGCCTTCTGAGGTACTTCTGCACATGCAGATGGAACTGTAGAGCTGCTACTGGCTACAAACATGTAATAAAAGTGAGGTTAAAAACATAATAAAACCATTATTCTGCCACTAAGAGCTCAGCATTGCCTTTTACTGTGGCCCACATCTCTAAGCTTAGTTTTGGTGCTTAGAGGAGGCATTTCTATTAATGATTCCTTTTCATAACTGCTAGTTCTCTCCACTAGGAATATTAAAAAAACACCCAAGCAAACCCACACTCAGAAGCCTCTGCAGCCCAGCAAGCAGGGCCGGGCAGAGAGCACCTTCAGCTAAAGCAGCACAGCATCTTCAGTGTCCATGAGGGACAGGGATTTGCTTGTGAAAGCTCAGGTGAAAGCCCCATGTGCTCAGCTGTGGGCAGCTGCATCTTCTAGAACAGGGTCTCCACAGAGCTGAACAACATGGCTGGGAACAAAGCCAGGACACCTCAAACTTCAGGGCACCTCCCTGGGTGACTTCAGATCATTTTACAAAAAGAAAATCAGAGTAATGTTAAGTAGTGACATTAGAATGTGTTTTTCTTAGACTTTTAATTGCAAACATTACTTCAAGGTCTCAGCAAGAAGGAAACTAATGGAGCATTCCTCATCAGGCATGAGGAGGCAAGAGACAGGTGAGAGGAGCAAAGCCAAGGGTGCAGAGCCCAGCAGTCGTGATGCACTGAATTCTCAGTGTCGCCCCCAGAGGATTTCTCTTCTGTTGGGAGGAGCTGAGCACACGGTCTGGCTGCTGTGAAGGTTTCAGCTCTGCCTTCTGCAGCTGCTGGTTCTACCTCCCTGAGTCAAGTGTTGCTTCTGACACTACAAATGCCCAAGCCAGTTGCAATGGCAGGCAAAGGACCTGGCCTCTGATACCATATTTTATTAGCAAGAGCAACACTTGACAGAAGAGAAACTATTTTCCCTGCATTTAAAGAAAGGGGCTTAAACCAAGACTTAAAATTTCAATCCCTTCACATTTTTTTCATTGAAATTAAACCTGAACCTGGATCAGTCCTCAAACTTAAGATGGAAGCTAAATCTTACTGGCTATTTCTTTGCTCTGTTTCTAGCTGTAAGTGGCCCTGAACTCATTTTCTAGTAAAGAGATGAGAGGAAACATGAAGTTTTAAGCAGAGCAGGAGTAGCAAGGAGAGTTTTCCATCACAGACTGAGTCCTGCTTCAACTGTACAAGAAAATGAAAATATAAGTAGAAGTAAATATTTCAAACACATTTTATTTGGTACTTTCATGCTATATATAGTTTTAAAGAAAAACTACATATTTTGGACACTTCAAAATATTGTGGCTATGTACATGGAAAACTAAAGAAAGCAAGAAAGGAACCCAATTCACTTCACTGTGTCACAAGGTCCTGTTGAAAGCATTCTGACTGAATGGCTGTTTTTTCCCTTCCACATATATATATTCTGGCAGATGAAGTCTCTTTTTCAGTGATTTTCCATTGCTTTTATCCCATCTCCTGTATAAGATGAACACTTGGCAGCACCAGAAAATCATTTCTTCAAAAATTCTTCAGCTTGTCTCTTTTGGACTTTCTGCCCAGCTTCCTACAGACCAGTGCAGGACTCTTGATGGTACCTTCTCTGGTGGCATGAACTGAAACCCCACAAGCCCCCTTTCCCCAGCCAGGGATCTCCTCAGTGAGCAATGCACCAAGCCCTGGCTGGGGCTCCAAACTCCAAGGCTCTCCCTGTAACCTGGTTAATCACAGTGCAAAAGGGGTGAGACTTGCAGTTCTGCCCAACAGCAACCACAAGAGAGATGGAACCATAGCAGGAGAAATCAGCACCAGGCTAAAGAGAAAGCAACCTGCACTGCTCCTCTTACCACTCTGCTGTCCTGCTTTATAAAAAACACATGCTACATAAAAAGCACAAGCAAGGACCATTTTCCAGTTGCTCTGAAACGAGCAAAACCAAAAATCCCCAAACAAACCTGCTTTGTCATCCAGAAGTCAAATACTTCAGGTTTCACACAGTCTTCAGTAGTCTGATAAGGCAAAGGAAAAGTCTTCCACCCTTCAGAACAGCAGCAGTTTACAGGATTCAGAAGGTATTTCCTGTGTGTGCACATGTGCATACACATCTTTTATAGTTTTATGAACATGGACGTAACAAAAACAAATAATCACGTTTTCAGTATCATTTTACCACACTTTTCTAATTTATTCAATTAAATGATTTATTTCTGTACTGAACAAAATTCATAAATACACAATCTAGAAGAACAATAGGTTTTCCTCTTGTCCATGAAAAAATAATGCTTTCAAATTTTCACATTTTAAAACCTGCCTTTTGTGTGTGTTTTTAGAGAAAATGCAAGAAGATCATAGTGCCATCTTAATTTACAGAATGTCCCTGTAGGAATTACATTTACAAGAACCTGATACAGAAGCCTATACTTTGCCCCCATAATTAGAGTTCTCTGCAATAATATTTAAACCAACAGGTTTAAATAATACACCCCATTAACTCTACTTGTAGAGCAATGAGGTATTTATTTTCAAGTATTAGAACCACAAAGTGTAAAAGATTCTTTGCCAATTTTACAATTATGCCTCTTAAACCAACACCCACCTTTTTAAAAAAAAAAGAATCAGTCCCACCACCCAAATCAGCCCATTGCTTTCAGATTCCAGTGTCTCCTGTCTTAAGAAATGCAGAAATATCCATTTACTAACAGAAAAAGCTTGTTGGAAAAAGCCGTATTAAGTAATGCACGTGAAGCATGATTTTTCTAGTGATGAAAGCTATTAGAAAGGTGATCCAAGTCTATTCCCATCATTTCTTCTGCTGGTTTTACTAAAGTCCTTCCAAAAAAGATATTAAAGAAATTTTTAAAAAACTGCACAGAAAAAATAAAACACGCCTTCATAGCATGGAAGAAACTCCACTGACTGCAGAGATGCTCATATCACCTTTGGTTCTTCAGAAGAAACAATCAGATCACTTCTACAACAGAAGGTATCAAAAATGACAGGTCAGCAAAGAGGGACAAAGCTCACTTCAAAATGCTATGTATTTATGCAATTATTTACTGTCAGATGATTTTCCTTACATTCTCTAGACACAGAAAAAGAAATTGAGAGCCCAATTCAACTGGCTAAATTTTATTTGTTTACCTAACATCCTTGAAAAGTTATTGGGAGAAACCCAGCGTGCTGCAAACCATCCCTCAGCATTTGTGTCAGCAAGAACTTGGTGAGCAAAGTGCTCCCAGCATGTCCCACAGAAGGCAGGCACCAGCCCCTCCTCAGGGGGCATTTCAAAATGCTTCCATTTCCATCACCTTATATCAATTAAGAGCTCTAGATCCTCTGTCAATCACAACACGAGTGTTAATGAACCAAGTCAAACCTACCTGCTGTTTGATGTGTTTGAACACTATCTACCTGAGGCAAGAGAGTCCCCTTATCTTCAAAGGCTATGATTGGATTCAGGGGAATTTCAGGACTGTTGCTTCCATCATTGTTCATGGCGTCCAGCCGGGGCGGTTTGGAACCAAGAGGCAGGTTTATAATCTCTTCAAAGTTATCATTCTGCATAGACATTCCATTCTCATTTGCATTTTTCTCTGGATTGAGATTGCTGAAAGAGAAAAGGAGGCATTTCCTCATACACTCCATCTAGAACAGAAATTCACTCTCCCTCAAAGCAATACTACCAATGGAAAGGGTTTTCATGAATCCAGAGGATTCTTTGAGCCAGTAAAAGCAAAACAATGTTTCTACCACAGCAGCAGCTCTTTTTGCAGCCAGGTACCAGATTTGCCTTCCCTCAAACACACAGGATAGTCCCTACATTTGGCCACACAATACCCAGAACGACAGGAGCTTCAGAAACACTGGTTCTGAGCAGGGACTGTGAAGGGCAGCAGCAGGAACACCCCAGCAGCACCCCCAATGCACCTTGCAGCCTCTAACACCTTTTTTCAGGTCTCATAACCTTTGCCATGCCCTTCCTCTTATTGCAAATCCATGTAATTGCTCTTAGATAAGATTACTGTCATTTCTGTTATTCCCTGGATCAGCTCCTGCTTCCAGTGTTGGAGCAGCCTCTTCTGGCTGCCACTCAACCAGATAAAAAGCTCCCTTCCCAACACAGCTTCTCCTTTCAGGCCCTCCTGCCCTCCAAGTTCCTAGGGCTTTCTGCCAAGGCACTGCACAGCTCTGTACTGCTCCCACTCCCCACGCCCAAGCCAAGAGAAACCCCTTTCAGCATCCTTTGTGCCAACCTGCACCTTCCCACCTGCATTGGGCAGAGGTGCCTCATGAGGAAGCTCTTGGACATCCCCCCATTGGGAGCTGCTCCAGCCCACACACACTCTGCAATTACACTGCTCTCCTGCTGACAGTCCTGCCTCTGCCCTCCCAACCCTGTCATTAGACTCTGTGCTGTCAAATCGTGTTGTCTCTGCAGACACAGGGACTCTCTTGCCAGAGGGGAGAGGCTCAGGTGCTACCTCAGTGGACAGGATGACAGTAATGGGACCACAAGCAGGTACTCAACTGACACTCGCAAATCCTGGGATCTTTCACCAGTGCTTCTGAAGGCCCTCAGGTTAGATCCTGACAATCTTGGGCACCTATTTCCCTATTCAGATCACATTATGAGTATTCAGATTGTTTGGAAATGCTACAGCCACAAAGGCAATTTTCCTAGATTTAAAGCAAGCTATCAGTTTCCTCGGGCTGTTTCTGAGCAGGTGGCTTGGTTTCACAGGCTAATTTTCTCTAACCTTAAAAAACAAACAAGCAAACAAACAAAACCTGCTTGCAAGTGACATATGTTTTACCATAATTTACTGGCTTCTTTGGGTGCCCAGCTCTTCACAAACAATTTCAGAATCCTTTTGCAGTACTTTCCAGGAGACAGAAAATAATTACTGCTCTTTGAAAGTTTCCCAAGCCACATTTTCCTGTGAGAATGACATGCTGGGTTTCATCCCAAGCCTTTCCACCCATCACTAGTTCTTTTTCAGAAAGGCATTCCCCTTTTTTTTATTTGTGGCTCTACCAAGTGCATTTCAGAGTGGGAAGTTTGTTTCTCAGCACTGAGCTTGGGAGCAGCCACAGAAGCCCAGCAGGAGCTGGGGCAGGTCACAAGCCACCAGGTCCCTTTTCTGCAGAGATTTGCACCTCCAAAGTGAGGAGCAGAGGCTGAAATGCTTTAGAACTAATAAAGCTGCTCATTTACATCTAGTTAATAGGTTATTGATCACTATAAGGTAACCTGTTACTTATTTTGTCCCTGCCTACTACAAGTCACCTTACCAGAGCAAGGATAACAGGGTAAGTTTGATGGGTAGGTAAGAACATGGAGGAAAGAGCAACTGCTGATTTATGTGAACTAAACAGCAAAGGACTTGAGTGCAACAAAAACAACCCTTGCTTCTGCAAACAGATATGAATGTTTCTACCCAACTGATCCGCTGACTTCACAAATTAATAGTTCATTTTCATTTACTTGTCATTGCCCCACCAGCATTGCAGACTGAGTTGCTCCAGGATTCACAGATGTCTTTTGTGCACTCACAAAGGGGGGGCAGAAGGTGAAACCATTACTGTGAATCTTCTATATTCAATGCTGTAAAGTTTTTTATATTTTATGCTGTTTGCTCCACCAGATTACCAGGAAATCAAGTCTAGAAGGAACAAAGGGAACAACAGAACTGTGGCATTAATTCCACTTGACATGGCAGAGGCCATAAACTCCAAAGGAGATTAGACAAATTCCTAGGAGATCTGTTTGCCCTCCAGCTTCTGGTAATTAGCAGCTTAGGGACTACTAGAGCCTATGCTTGCATTTGGGCCACAATGCTCAGTAACCCTTTTCTGACCAGAGGATCTCCTGGTTCCTACTTTTTTCCTTTTCACTATCTCCCTACGTGACTGCTACAGGCCATTAATGCAAAAAAAAAATAAAATACAGAAAAGTAATGGATTATTGATCTGCTACAGCTGTTCTCACTGTCTTATGTCCCATTCTTAGAGATGTGTCAGTCCAGCACAACACCGGAGATACCCTCTTCAGGCATGTAATACTGCAGCTGTGTTTCTAAGAGCTGGGTAATTTTGGCATTGTACCATAGTCCATAAGTGTGGCAGCAGCAAGACACACAGAGGAAGCTGCCTGAGTTATTCAGAGTGCTTTCCAACAGAAAAGCCTTGCAAGCATCTGAGGACAGCTTCACAGCAGCTAAAAAGAATTAAGTGTCTGTGCAGCTTTGCTTTTGGAACCAGACACATCAATATTAACAAGATAGACCAGAGGGAGTTGTGTGAAGAGCAGCTAATTTAGGTAAAGGAACTGGAACACTGAAAAAGGTAAAAACTACTGAAAATTACATCTGACACAGATCATTTTAGACAAAGCTCTGTGTAGACATCATTATATGTAAAGAATTTGAAGAGGGTAAAGAAGAATAAAAAAGATCAACTTTCAGAATTTGATGTGTCTTTCTTTCTGATAACCCATCTGAAACCAATATCAAATAAGAAAAAAAAAAACTGATTTGCATGTTTTTGGAATGTGCCAAAATACTTTCACACCTGCTATTCCTGATGGGAAAGACAATGTCAGTCACCTCATTTATTGACATGGTTTTAGCAGAGATGTCACAAGCAGACATTAAGAGCAGAATAGACCCCAGACTTCTGGATTATTTAAATCAAGGTTGGAAAAGACCTTCAAGATCATCCAGTCCAACCATCCACCTTACAATGCCTGACCACTAAACCAGCTCACTCAGCTCCATATTTACCCCTTTTTTGAGCACCTCCAGGGGTGATCCCTCCCCCACCTCCCTGGGCAGCCTGTTCCAAGACCTCAGCACTCCTTCTGTGAAGAAGTTTTTCCAAATATCCAGCCTGACACTGCTGGCTCATGTTCAGCCCTCACGATGATAGGACTGACATTGTTCTCTGGTGGGAGGTGTCCCTGCCCACACAGGGGCTTGGGGCTGGATGACCTTTAAGGTCCCTTCCCACCCAACCCATTCCATGACTGAAATCACTATGAAATGAGGGGCTGGAGGCCTAGGGTAGGGAAGGTGGTGCTAAGTTTTTTCCAGACAAAAGCCAAATCTTCCTTGGGACTGGAGTGAGGACCTTGCACAGGAGCCCATCTCCACCTGCTGCTGGTGTGCACAGAGGTGCAGAGCCCTGTGCTGGCCCCTGGGGCTTGGACCATGTGATAACATCTGTGCTGCCAAGTATTCCTTGCAAAAGGTTGTCAGGCTACCTGGGATAAGCTCACTCTGGGATGCTACCAAGTGCTTCAGCCTTTGCCTTCCCAGTCAGGGTGGCTGTATCTCTGGAGCCCCCACACACCCATGTCCAGTTTCCTTTCCACACACCCCTCCTTTTGTTGCTGTTCTTCAGTCTCATTTATTCAGTCATTGCTTGGGCCACTCTGAGGTTCCTTCCACAGGGGTCAGTGCCACATGAGAGCATTAATTAGCCGGGCACACTTTACATGACAACTCTCAAGGCGCTGATAAGGCTGGGAGTGATTAATATTTAATGGCTGCCTGAGACAATGAGGATGTGGCTCCTGCAGCTCCTCCAGGGCAGTGCAGAGCCCAGTGACACTGACAGCACTTCCCTCAGCAGAAGCCTCCCTGGGGCATGACAGCAGGCTAGGATCCCCCAGGCAGACAGAGGGACAAGAGAGGGCAAATTCCTCCTTCAATTAGTGCCAATCACACCCTGCAGCACACTGCCCATTATGGGCTAGTGATGCCTTCCCATATCCAGTGTCTTCTGTGCATATTCTGACACTGCCTGCACAAAACATGACAGCACCAAGGGGCTGTTTGGCTTTCTGCATTGCTAAAGCTGAAATGACTGACAGCTCTTCCTCACGTAGCAGCTTTCACTCTGTTCAACACCAAGGTTTCATTTCAACAGTTTCTCTGAGTCTGACTGACTTGCTTCATTGGCTATAGAGAAAGCTCCCCATGTGAAACATCTGCCTCCCCAAATTCTCCTTACAGAGGACAAAGGGTTTGGTTTTTTTTAAAAATAAAGCTGCTCATTTACATCTAGTTAATAGGTTATTGATCACTATAAGGTAACCTGTTACTTATTTTGTCCCTGCCTACTACAAGTCACCTTACCAGAGCAAGGATAACAGGGTAAGTTTGATGGGTAGGTAAGAACATGGAGGAAAGAGCAACTGCTGATTTATGTGAACTAAACAGCAAAGGACTTGAGTGCAACAAAAACAACCCTTGCTTCTGCAAACAGATATGAATGTTTCTACCCAACTGATCCGCTGACTTCACAAATTAATAGTTCATTTTCATTTACTTGTCATTGCCCCACCAGCATTGCAGACTGAGTTGCTCCAGGATTCACAGATGTCTTTTGTGCACTCACAAAGGGGGGGCAGAAGGTGAAACCATTACTGTGAATCTTCTATATTCAATGCTGTAAAGTTTTTTATATTTTATGCTGTTTGCTCCACCAGATTACCAGGAAATCAAGTCTAGAAGGAACAAAGGGAACAACAGAACTGTGGCATTAATTCCACTTGACATGGCAGAGGCCATAAACTCCAAAGGAGATTAGACAAATTCCTAGGAGATCTGTTTGCCCTCCAGCTTCTGGTAATTAGCAGCTTAGGGACTACTAGAGCCTATGCTTGCATTTGGGCCACAATGCTCAGTAACCCTTTTCTGACCAGAGGATCTCCTGGTTCCTACTTTTTTCCTTTTCACTATCTCCCTACGTGACTGCTACAGGCCATTAATGCAAAAAAAAAATAAAATACAGAAAAGTAATGGATTATTGATCTGCTACAGCTGTTCTCACTGTCTTATGTCCCATTCTTAGAGATGTGTCAGTCCAGCACAACACCGGAGATACCCTCTTCAGGCATGTAATACTGCAGCTGTGTTTCTAAGAGCTGGGTAATTTTGGCATTGTACCATAGTCCATAAGTGTGGCAGCAGCAAGACACACAGAGGAAGCTGCCTGAGTTATTCAGAGTGCTTTCCAACAGAAAAGCCTTGCAAGCATCTGAGGACAGCTTCACAGCAGCTAAAAAGAATTAAGTGTCTGTGCAGCTTTGCTTTTGGAACCAGACACATCAATATTAACAAGATAGACCAGAGGGAGTTGTGTGAAGAGCAGCTAATTTAGGTAAAGGAACTGGAACACTGAAAAAGGTAAAAACTACTGAAAATTACATCTGACACAGATCATTTTAGACAAAGCTCTGTGTAGACATCATTATATGTAAAGAATTTGAAGAGGGTAAAGAAGAATAAAAAAGATCAACTTTCAGAATTTGATGTGTCTTTCTTTCTGATAACCCATCTGAAACCAATATCAAATAAGAAAAAAAAAAACTGATTTGCATGTTTTTGGAATGTGCCAAAATACTTTCACACCTGCTATTCCTGATGGGAAAGACAATGTCAGTCACCTCATTTATTGACATGGTTTTAGCAGAGATGTCACAAGCAGACATTAAGAGCAGAATAGACCCCAGACTTCTGGATTATTTAAATCAAGGTTGGAAAAGACCTTCAAGATCATCCAGTCCAACCATCCACCTTACAATGCCTGACCACTAAACCAGCTCACTCAGCTCCATATTTACCCCTTTTTTGAGCACCTCCAGGGGTGATCCCTCCCCCACCTCCCTGGGCAGCCTGTTCCAAGACCTCAGCACTCCTTCTGTGAAGAAGTTTTTCCAAATATCCAGCCTGACACTGCTGGCTCATGTTCAGCCCTCACGATGATAGGACTGACATTGTTCTCTGGTGGGAGGTGTCCCTGCCCACACAGGGGCTTGGGGCTGGATGACCTTTAAGGTCCCTTCCCACCCAACCCATTCCATGACTGAAATCACTATGAAATGAGGGGCTGGAGGCCTAGGGTAGGGAAGGTGGTGCTAAGTTTTTTCCAGACAAAAGCCAAATCTTCCTTGGGACTGGAGTGAGGACCTTGCACAGGAGCCCATCTCCACCTGCTGCTGGTGTGCACAGAGGTGCAGAGCCCTGTGCTGGCCCCTGGGGCTTGGACCATGTGATAACATCTGTGCTGCCAAGTATTCCTTGCAAAAGGTTGTCAGGCTACCTGGGATAAGCTCACTCTGGGATGCTACCAAGTGCTTCAGCCTTTGCCTTCCCAGTCAGGGTGGCTGTATCTCTGGAGCCCCCACACACCCATGTCCAGTTTCCTTTCCACACACCCCTCCTTTTGTTGCTGTTCTTCAGTCTCATTTATTCAGTCATTGCTTGGGCCACTCTGAGGTTCCTTCCACAGGGGTCAGTGCCACATGAGAGCATTAATTAGCCGGGCACACTTTACATGACAACTCTCAAGGCGCTGATAAGGCTGGGAGTGATTAATATTTAATGGCTGCCTGAGACAATGAGGATGTGGCTCCTGCAGCTCCTCCAGGGCAGTGCAGAGCCCAGTGACACTGACAGCACTTCCCTCAGCAGGAGCCTCCCTGGGGCATGACAGCAGGCTAGGATCCCCCAGGCAGACAGAGGGACAAGAGAGGGCAAATTCCTCCTTCAATTAGTGCCAATCACACCCTGCAGCACACTGCCCATTATGGGCTAGTGATGCCTTCCCATATCCAGTGTCTTCTGTGCATATTCTGACACTGCCTGCACAAAACATGACAGCACCAAGGGGCTGTTTGGCTTTCTGCATTGCTAAAGCTGAAATGACTGACAGCTCTTCCTCACGTAGCAGCTTTCACTCTGTTCAACACCAAGGTTTCATTTCAACAGTTTCTCTGAGTCTGACTGACTTGCTTCATTGGCTATAGAGAAAGCTCCCCATGTGAAACATCTGCCTCCCCAAATTCTCCTTACAGAGGACAAAGGGTTTGGTTTTTTTTAAAATGTGAAGCCAAAAACCAGTGGTTCTGTATCTCACGAGGGACTTTTGCTTAGTAAGCAAAACTAGCTAATACTTCAAACAGCTCAGAAATGGAAACGTCTGGCCTGAAAGGGCAGTGTCCAGTATGCACACCAAGAAAACCAGCACTCCAAATCCAGAGGGGTTTTGATGATGCTCAATACGTGGGAAAGAACAGAAAAAAACTGCCCTTTTCATTAAGTTTAACTTATGTAATAATTGCTGGCAAACAAGACATTGTCTCAAACACTGCAAAGATCCTGCTGCATTTTCACAAAATTCTTCCCTATCAGTTGGCAAAAACAGGTTGCTGCCAAGTGAGAGAAAGGTCTTTTCTGGACACAGGAAAATAGGAAGAGTAATCAGCTGTCTCTTATTTAGTTAATGAATACATGGATCTGATTTATTGCTCCAGCAACCCTTATCCTCTTCACCACCCAAGGCTTGGCAGTGTTCTTACCTGTCCATGTTTTCAGGGGGCTGTTGATGTGCCACGACCACCCGTGAGCAGGTGAGGGATGTCCCGTTGTGTGGAGGTGCTGTGGCCTGGAGCTGAGGTCCTCCTGCCGGTTCCACAGGAGATGCAGGACTGGTTATGGCTGCAGAGAGAAAACAAGCTTTCATAAAACCAATTGGCACCATCTCACTGCAGACTAGGATAAAACATTCCCTGCAAAAGAGCCCACTCAAGGCAAGCAACTGTTTTAAAAGTTTTCACATCCCTCCCTCCCCCACACCACCTCCTTTGTCAAGTTTTTGGGCACACAAGCCCTGTTTCTGGTCTGAAGTAATTGCCACAGATTTCAAAGTTACAGCTTTATGGACAAGAATAAACATCTTACAATTACATACACAATTCCAACACATAAGCCAGTGGTCAAAATAGGCAGAAAATCTGGCAGAACATGGTGCTGGCAATTTTCAACTAGCAATAGCAAATTAACTAGGAGAACACAGAGACATCATCAATTCCATACACTGGTATTTCTTGGTTCCAATGTTGATCACTGCCTGTAATGCAAAATGAAATGAAGAAGAAAAAAAATCTCCACAGGAAAGATACTTCTTTCAACAAGTACAAAATCACTACTATAAAATGCTGTAGGGAACAAGACAAAATTAGAATGTTCCTGTGCCTCATCCAAAGACCGTATCACAGATGTTACTGTCCTGCCCCAGGAGGTTCATTTAAAGCACAACCACAGGCTCCTGCATCATATCTTCAGTCACACTGACACACACAGCTCAGCAAAAGGCAGCAGTTGCCCCCCACCCACAGTGGCATCTGTTCCAAGAATCACAAGGACAATGTAGTGTTCATGGGCTTGGACATGTGTATCTGGGTTACCCCAAACCTCATCTGAGGAGACTCCTTTAGTTGGTCTGGCTTTGCTATGCTCTAAATGCTTGAACTGAAGTCTTTCACAACAAATGTCTTAGTCTGATCTTTGACAATTTTTTATGCAAGATATTAGCAATACAGTTGTTGGTGTTTCAACAAGTGGAACAAGAGGAAAATACATTGGCTTTAACATTTAAAAGAGAAAAGCAGAAGAAAGTTGTTCTGCTCTGGAAAGGCAGAGTGATCTTTGCTTTTGAAGCAAAGGTCAAACAAATGATAAAAAGGTGGTGCATTTTGTTTCATTGTGTGATTTGGCCATTCCCACAAAGGTGTCCTCACATTTTCACAAACAATAAGACTGAAAAAAAGAAAAATCACTATTTGTGTACAGTCAACATTCTGTCTGTTAGAGAACAATAACTTAAAGTTGGCTGAAACATGTCCACTCACTCCTACCTTTAACTCAAGGGCATATCTAGATAAAGCAAAGCCAAGCAGTGGAGCAGACCTGAAGGTGAGGGCAGTTTTATCTTTATCCAGTCACTCCTGGACTCCAGCCTTCCCTTGGGCCTGGGGAAAGGGAGGTCCAAATTCTCATATGCCTTAGAAAACTGCCTACTCATCTTCTGCCTCAGGCAGGACAGTGCTAGACACAGGTCAGAGCCATTTAGAGTTTCAAGAATTATTTAAGTGGTTTATAGCACCTTCAACAGTGCCTGCAGCAAAAGAGGCATCTCAGATGCATTCTGCCCTAGCAGTTCCCAAACAGTTTTCCCACTAAGATGTAAACAACTTCCAAAGACACACAAAGAAATCTGTGTCAAAGGGTTTCCTGACAGTCCTAATTAGAGTATGCACTTTAAATAGGGCAAAAAACCCCAAAACTACCCAGTGTTGTTATTTGTCTTCCACATTACTCAACTCACATATAGAATAAAAATAAAAATCATTGTCATTTAATGTGCTATGCTAAGATAAGCCATTTGATGGCAGTGCCTTTAAATACTGCTAATTCAGACTCAGTGATTGTTGAATATGAGCTACACTCTATTTTGTTTCCTTCATTGTAAATATTAAAATCTTACCTAAGATTTTCATGACTTGGAGAAGAAAGGATAGAGGGAACAGAATAGAATGGAAGACTGAAAGCATGGGTGTGGCAGGGAGACTAAGCTTTTGTAAGAGCTGAATTTTGAATGAAATAGAACTTAAGACCAAGTGAATAAGGCGGCAGGTGTGGAAGAGAGAAATCACAAGGAGGTCTTGAGACAATGAAGCTTGTTTTGATGACTGAGATGAAATATTCCTTTAAGAAAATGGAAAGTCTGCAACAACCACATCTGTACTGCTTTGCAAAAGAAACTGCAGAATCAGTTTCTTTTGTGATCAGAATCAGAAAATAATTCCTTTTCCTTTTTTAAACAACTAAACTTGGTAAGAAACTCCCTCTTGTTAAACAACGACATGACAAAGTTGCTAAAAGAGCTGACTCATTTAGTAATGGCCAACTACCTAGTCAGAAAGGCTAAATAAAGAATATTTGCTAAGGCTTCACACTTCACACTTCTCTCCTGGTTTTCTTTACTGCAATTAGTGTGCCAGGTCTCAGAGCCCTATCTCGAGTCATTGTGCTAAGGAGGCATTAATTCAGCAGTGGTGCTCAGGGCACAGTTCAACACAATACCTGCTTCTCCAGGACTACTGGCCTTTGATATATGTCCATTTTGCTGGTCATTGGCTTTCTACAAAGGAAACACAAATTTGTAAATTAAAACTAGCACTAAAGAAGTGAAGCATGCCCAATATTTGCACATGGTAATATCAGCACTGACCTTATCTGCAGCTTCTACACGCCTAGTTCTCTTCATGATCTCTTCAAGCCTCTACAATGAAATGTAAAGGAGTAAAATAATGTTTGCTGGCATTAATTTAATAATATCTCTCCCAAACCACAACTGCTTGCCATTTATCGATTGAATCTGTTTATTGCAAAAAGATTGATTATGTGTTACTGTTGGGCATTTTCCCTTCACTTTCATGTTAGGCAAATGAGGACTGCAGCTTTTCCAAGGGCACAGTTACATCATGGATAACTTCACAGAATCACAGAATATTAGGCGTTGGAAGGGACCTCTGAAGATCATTGAGTCCAACCCCCCTGCCAGAGCAAGACCAAAACTAGGGCAGATCACTCAGAAAGGCATCCAGACAGGTCTGGAAAGGCTCCAGAGAAGGAGCCTCCACAGCCTCTCTGGGCATCCTGTCCCAGGGCTCTGTCACCCTCATAGGAAAGAAGTTCTTCCTCATGTTGAGGTGGAACTTACTGTGCTCGAGTTTGAATCCATTGCCCCTCATCCTATCACAGAGCACAAGTGACAAGAGCTTGTCCTGCCTTCTTGATGCCCTCATGTATTTATAGACATTGATTAGATGCCCCCTCAGTCTTGTCCTCTCTAGACTGAACAGCCCCAGGTCTCTCAGCCTTTCCTCATCAGGCAGGTGTTCCAGTCCCTTCATCATCCTTGTAGCCTCTGTTGGACTCTCTCCGGTAGATGCCTGTCCCTCTGGAACTGGGGAGCCCAGAACTTCCTACAGCTGAGGTGGCAACTGAATTACAGTTTCTCTGCATGTACTGAGTTACCTTCTTCCTTTCCAAGCGCTCCTGCTCTTCCCTTTGGAAATGCTTTTCCCGCTCCAAGCGAATCCGCTCGGCCTCCTCCCGCAGGCGAGCCTCCTCTTCCTTCTGGTGGCAAAGGAAGGGAAGGGAGGAACAACTTATGGCTTAAGGACAGACTGACACTGCTACCTGCTTAACTATGCATATCTGCAACACCCTGAAAAGACACTTTTGGGGTTTACAAGTCACCAGTGATCTTTTCAGACTGAGCTGCACATTCCTTGATTCATCTCCATGTTTTGCATGGGATTAAGGGGTCGTCACTGGACAATGGGCATCATCTCTGGTCATGTGCCTTTTCTGGGGCACACACCTGAATGTACACCAGATAAGAAAAAAATTTCCTAACCTTCACCATTAAAACAGAAGTCAGGAAAGTATCCAAGACATTCCTGAGTGGTGGATAGTTTTGAGAGTTAAACAAAAGCAGCAGAATGTTCTGTGTGGGCAACAGAGTCATCGCTTAACTCAACCAAGGACAAACAGCCACAGGAACATCTGCACAACCTTTGCACTGCTGCTTTTTTGATTAAATGTAAAACTTTTCTGAAATACACTGTAGAGAGGCCTTGCTCCCTGATGGTGATGGCATTGCATGAGGGAACTACTACAACAGTTCATTTGTTAAGGCTGCAATTTCCAAAAACACCTGGCCAAGCGGTACATCTGGGACATTCCTTAGTTTAGCATTTCAAGGACAGCGGCATAAATCTGCTGGGAAAACCCTGCAGTTTCTAAGCTATATTCACTAACACAATCCTTTAAACATTTATTTTCTGAAGCATACATTTATTTATTCACCAGAAGAAAACAATAAGGTTTATGAAGCAGATGGAAGTGCTGAATTCTGGGGGTGAGAAAGTGTACACACAAAGCAAGAGCATATGCAAGAAAAGAATCCTGTCCAAAATCCTTACCACAGCCTTCTCTGAAGCTGGTAAATCAACATTATATCCATAAAAAATGAAAGCACTTTACAAATAGTATATTGATTTATTCACTCTTATGTCTTTTGAGCAGCTGCTCTGATTTCAGGAGGACTGCACCAGGTAAAGGCTCTCCTTGACTAGATTGAAGTGATCAGAACCTATTGCCCTTTCCCATTATCCCCAGACAAAAGCAATACTGGGCACAGGTTCAGATCTCAGCAGTGCCATGTCTCCAGCACTTTGAACAGTTAGTCATCTTGGCATCTAGACTTCCTGTGACTGTGGGGACCAGGAGTTCTCTGGTATAACACCATTCATTAAACCCCCCAGTAAAACTCTTGATTTTTTCATCATAGTTTATCAGGAACAGGAAATTATTTGTTCTTAATAAATAAGTTCTACAGGGAAAACAAAACCAAACAAACCTCAACTCCCTACCACGTTTCTGCCAGGAAGAAATCTCTTTACCACTCTATGGAACAAACGCTGCCACAGCCCTATTCACTATTTATATCTAGGTGCCGCACACAAGGTGTTGCTTCATCGACTTTGCTGCCAATCAGACTGGCACAGAATTCCAGGAGGGAAGCATACTTGTTTCTGAGCACGCTCCATCTCTTCCTTCTCCCTCTGCTCCCTCTCCACCGCCTGCC